CACAGATGAGAAACATATGTTGTGGAAAACTTAGTTCTTCTGGCCAATGTAGTAAAGAATTAAATATCAACAAGCTGATTAATATACAGGCAGAGTTTATTAGTAATACGTTCTCAGGGAGAACAGGCCTATCCAAGGTGGACGAGAGAGGCATAGGTTCCAGGTCCGTTTGTCCTGAGGACTTAGTTTGCAGGGTGAGGTGAAGGAGTTACATATTGATTGGTGGGTGAAGGCCTAGGCCCGTTCTCCTCCCTGAGAATGTATTACTAATAAACTCTGCCTGTATACTAACCAGCTTGCCGATCTTTCCTTCTTCACTGTCAGCGAGCAAAATCGAGTTCCCCACGACATATCGATCAGCTTCCTGCACGCACCCCAACTGGGAATTGAACCTAACAACCTTGTGGCATCCAAGGTGATGCCCCAACCAACTTAGCCACCCAGCCAGGGCTAAACTTAAGTCTTATTCTCTCTTCTTTCCCCTGCTACTCAATGCTTCCCAGAGGCAATTCCTATAATGATTTATGCCCTTTCAGAAGTAGCCTAATCATAAATAAAAATATGAATAAATGCTTTAAAAACACAGTCATGCACAAATGATTACATACAGAGTGTATAATCTTGTTCTGCATCTTTTTTTTTTACTGAACAAAATACATATGTGCAAATGGAAGATGAACATTTTTAAAAATTGCAAATACTGCATATATATAAAAAGATGCAGATATAATGAATACGTGTTATCTAGCCTAAGATTTGCCAATTCAGTTGTTCTTCCCTCCTCCTTTTTCCGTCCACCCAAGGGTCACTGCTGTCCTAAGTTTTGTGGCTACCATTTCCATGTGCGCTATACTACATATGTATAAAACGTCCCTGAGCAATGCTCAGTGTTATTTTTCTTGTTTTTAAATTTGATATGTTACATCGTTCTGTAGTCTATAATTTTCTTCTCTCACCATTGTGAGAGTAATCCACATGGATGTGTATCTATGGCTCATTCATTTTCACTGCTATATAGATTCTCTTGCTTGGCATAAAGTTTGTTTCCATCTTTTTGTTGTTATAAACAATGCTTATTTGAACACTTTTGCATGTGTATGAGTTTCTGTACAACATATGTATAGAGATGGCAGGAAGCCTTCAACTGCATTATCTTCAACTTCACTCTTCATTCTTTGCATTAACTGCCTAGTATTTCCTCACATTAGCATAATTTATTTAGTCGGCTTCCTAGTGATGGTTACATAGTTTGTTTGCAATTTTTTCGCGTGTGAGAACACATCTGCAGAATAAAATTGCTGGGTGAAAGTGTTTTAGCGAGGCCAATTATATCATTTGGTAATTGTTTTTCTAATTAAATGATCGCATCAGGTGACAGTGCCAGGTATCTAATTACTTAAAGTGTTTCAAGTTTCACAATAGCTTAAGGCTCTAGCTGGTGTGGCTCAGTGGATTGAGCGCCTGCCTGCAAAACAAAGTGTCACTGGTTCGATTCCCAGGGTAGGGCACATGCCTGGGTTGCAGGTTAGGTCCCCAGTAGGGGGTGCACAAGATGCAACCACATGTTGATGTTTCTCTCCCTTTCTTTCTCTCTCCCTATTCTTCTCTAAAAATAAATAAATAAAATCTTATAAAAATAGTTGTTAAAAAAAGAAAAAGTTTCACAGTAATATTCAGCCTTGAATCCCTGCATAACCCAAAGTCAGTAATACTTTTTTGTATTCCTTATCCTGGTCCAGTCCCAAGTATGGACATACTTTTATGAAATAAGTTGATTAATAACTTTTGAATAAAACGATTACTTTGGAAGTATATGTTTAATATTTTTATACAAATGATTACAAGCCTTGTCTGGTATGATTTCCAACTTGTTTGCAACCTGTCTTACCAGAAGTCTAGTCAGTATGTTGTAAGGCCCTAGAATAGACTGTAACACCACAAGGGTCAGCAAAATACAGCCCAGGGTCAGATCTGGCTCACTGCGCGTTTTTGAATGGACCTTGAACTAAGAATATTAACAAAAAATTCTTTCTAATTGTTTATTTTCACTTTTAAATGGTTAAAAAAATAAAAAGAATATCATTCACATGTAAAATTTATAAAAAGTTCTAATTTTAGTGTCCATAAATAAAGTTGTGTTGGAACACAGCCATGCTCATTTGTATTTGTATTATGTATTGTCTGCATGCTTTTATGCTTCAACAGCAGAGTGAGAAGTTGCAATAGATACTGAGGCAGTGCTCCGAGTTGTTGCTTGGTGCACTACAGATAGCAATGATGCATTTCTAATTTGACTGTTTCTGGTTCCACACACATTACTATACTGTGACATTTAACAAAAAAATTGCCAGTCCCTACCTACCATGTCAAAGCAAGAAAAGTAGACTCTGAATGCTTTTTAACTCAGTGGAATGTGGATTTTCTTACAAAATTAGGTGACCGATCATTATGGTTGATATGTAGTGATGCAGTAGCTATGCTAAAGAAGACATAACAATACTAAGCACTCACAGCAATATTTCCAGCTCACAGGAAAGCAATGATCAGAAAACTTAGAAAATTTAAATTGGAATATTTCATCACAGCAGAATTTCTTCACAAAAATAGAAATTCAAATGAGACTGTAAACAAAGTGAGTTTTAAAATGGCTCTTGTGTTAAGCAAGTTAAACCACTTACCAACTGTGAATTAATTAAATCACACTTAATTGCAATGGCCAAAGATATGTGTGCAGAGGAGAAAAAACTTTAAACTGTTAGGCTTTCAGAAGCAATTGCTTGAAGAGTTGAGGATTATTTGGGGAAACAATATCAATAGTTAGAAAGAATAGCAAATTGTTTTAATTGTTTTCCTTGGCTCTTGATGAGTTGACAGATGTTACTGATACTGCCCAGTTATTTGGAGCCAATACCACTTTTGAAGTGACTGAAGAATTGGTCTCTGTGAATAGTCTGTGGAACAACTGTAGACAAGAATGTTTTCAAACAAGTTGAGAAAACAAAATCCGTACAATCTGAAGTGGAATCTGCTAAGAATGTTACAATGAATGGTGATAAAAATATATGTGAAGGAGCCCTGGCTGGTGTGGCTCAGTGGGTTGAGTGTTGGCCTGCGAACCAAAGGGTTGCCAGTTGATTCCTAGTCTGGGACACAGGCCTGGGTTGCAGGCCAGGTCCCCAGTGAGGGGCATGAGAGAGGCAACTACACATTGATGTTTCTCTTCCTCCTTTCTCAGTCCCTCCCTTTCTTTAAAAAAATAAATAAAATCTTTCAAAATATATGTCGAGAGAGGGAGAGAGAAGATTTGGATAAATTTACAAAGCTTATGAAAAATGTAAAGTTTTTAAAGCCTATGGTTACTTTATTATTCATCAGCAGGTACTTTACAGAGAATATTTGAATCTGTCATTATTTTATTGAACCAGCAATGTCTATAGTGAATTTTACTCACTTTCATGGACTTTGCCATCATCATTTTGTGAATTTTTGTCAGAAATAAGAACTGAGTATCCTGACTTGCCCTACCACACAGTTCTGGAGCTTAGCAGCAATTAAAAAAATTTTTTTTTAAATTTTGAGCTCAGGAACAAGATTAAAGTTTTTCCAAGTGAGAAGAACTGCCCTCAACCACTATTATCTCTTTGAAAAATAATTATTGCTGTAGACTTGATATTTCTTAATGAATTCAGCCTAAAATTACAAAACAGTGCTTATATGCAAAACTCATATTGCAGTCAAGTCACTGATGAGATTATTTGAACTACAAGTAATATCAAGCTAATTGAAGTGCTTCCATAAATCATTTTGATTTACAGTAGTGACACACTAAGGCAAATATCAAAGAGAAGAATCTAAGAATTCCATAAATAACTTCCAAGTGATGAATATGCTACATTAAAATCATGTGCTTGTGGATTATGTCATTATTAGGCAGTATCTAGGCTGTGTAAAAGGAAATAGGATGAAATATATAAAGTCTTCATTGATCCACATAAACATAAGACCAGTTGCGATTGATTTTTGATGAAAAGGAACACTAATTTTGAATTCCAGTTAATTGAAATGTTATCCCCCCCAAAAGAATTATACTCTCCTTAGTACACCTGTAATAGGGGGAAGAAATTGTACTCATTCGTTCTCAATATATTTTGAATTTCATCAATAAAGATTTTGTGGAAATCTGTTTTCTCTCTATATGTACATACCTATGTGGTATTCTCAGTTTTCCTCTTGGTCCGTAAAGCCCCAAATATTTACTGTCTGCCTTTTATAGAAAAAGTTTGCCAATCCCTGGCTTAGGGAAATGTGGCTCAGAACTAAACATTTTCCCGTCACTCTTTCAATGGCATTATTTGGTTTTGTTTTAAAAAGAGTATTATTCCTCACAGCAAGAAAAATTGGGAATAGAGCACATTAACTGTTACAGAAGTTCTTGGTCCTTATCCTTATGGGAGAGACCTTTTTCAGCTTGTCATTTATAATGGAGTTTTGCATTGTAATTGCCTAGAGAAGGTATCACTTCATAATTCCTTCTAGATGTGAACTTGGAAAGAATACACATAGACTGAGACCCTGCTCAAGGCCACCCATTGTATTAATAGGTATGTCTAATTAAAGCATTGAAATTTGTTTATTGACTTAACTCTTAAAGTGGTTGGTACATAGTATACTTTTGTGCGGTTTAAGTCACATTTTACTGAAAACCTGTATTGTTAAAACACTGTTGATACAAGAACAAATACATCTTTGTTTTCTTAATTTACAATAAAAGTACAGCTCTGCCTCTTCAAATGGATTGTTTCTAATGTTTTAAAGCATGTACTACTTCATGAAAAATTTTAAAGCTGAATAAAAGTAGGAAGAAGGAAAAATTCACCCATTCCTTATCTGAAGACCTCCACTAGAAGTATTTTGGTGTTTTCCTCTCCTGCTTTACGTCAGTGATATCTGATGTGTGCTTGTTCCAGCCTACCCAACAAGTGTTAATTTTTATTTTGAAGGAAAATTTGAGAATGGTGTTGCAGAAGGAATGGTGGATCCCAACCTAAACCCCATTGCAGCCTTTCGACTTTCAGTTATTCAGAATTCTGCTGTTTGGGCCATTCTTAATGAGGTAAGACATCAGTGAAACAGCTCAGAGTCTACATTTTTTTTTTTTCACATTCTGATTTCATATTTAAGGTCTTTTTGGAAATGAAAAATAATTGCCTCACTGTTCTCTTCACAATTTTGTATTTCAGATTCATATTAAAAAAGTCACCAACTGACCAGCTCCTAAAAAACCAAGACTTTTTTTCCTGTAAAGTTGATTAAAGATAATGAAGCATGTTTTTTTTTTTTTTTTTTTTTTTACTTGAACGCTACCTCTTGTGAAATCTACTGTAGATGATTGTCATTTCCACTCGGAAAGTGAATCTCCCACAGATAATTATATTCATTCAAACCTAAGCTGTCCTCCAATTTTAACTTGACTCAAACATTTTACAGTTACGACAGCCTGTTAATATGACTTGTACTATTTTGGTATTATACTAATACATAAGAGTTGTACATATTGTTACATTCCTTAAATTTGAAAAAAATTAATGGATACATTTTATGAAGGGGGTACTTTTGAAATTCATTTATTTTACTATTATAAACCCTCTTTTATAGATTATCAGGGATTATATATATATATATATATATAAAAATATACATAAAAATGTTATGGAGTTAATTTATTAGAAACACTTAAGAAGTACATATTTTTGTGCAGTAAATTTTTGAATCAATACTTTTTTTGAAAACCAGTTACCTTGCTTTTTTAAGTTCTTTCTATATTTTCCTTTAGAAATGCAGACATTACAGGTTAATGCCATTTTTCAAATGCACTGCCATTTAAGAGTGATTCTAGATCGACTTCCTAACTGAAATACTTTTTTACAGTAGCCCCCCCCCCCACATCTGTAGTTTTGCTTTCCACGGTTTTAGTTACTCATAGTCAACTGTGGTCCAAAAATTCTACATGGAAAGTTCCGGAAATAAACAATTCATAAGTTCTAAATTGCGCACTGTTCTGAGTAGTGTGATGAAATCTTGCGCCGTTCCATCCATCCCACCTGGGTCTGAATCACCCCTTTGTCCAGTGTCTGTCTCACTTCATGGCATCACACAGACATTTTATTTCTCACGTATGAGATCACATTCACGTAACTTTTTACAGCATAGTTTTATTCTGTTATTATTAGTTGTTAGTCTCTTACTGTGCCTAATTTATAAATTTTATCATAGGTATGTATGTTTATACAGGGAAGAAAGTAAGAATATATATAGCGTTTGGTACTAAGCCACAGCTTCAGGTGTCAACTGGTGGTCTTGGAACACATCCCCCTTGGATAAGTGGGGGCTTCTAGATCACTCATTTTGAACAAAATATTTTCAAATGCATTTGTCATTCCTTAAAGCAAGATTTTAAACACCAGTGTCCTTTTTGAGGTTTATTTTATTATACTGTGTATGGTGTATAGCAACAAAAAAATCAGTCTGATAAATTTTAATGTTCAGGGGTGATACATTCAACCCAAATTATCACAGACAACTCATTATATTTCTTCTAATATATAAGACAACAGACTTTTTTGATCTTTGTCTATATTCCATGAGTCTTGCCAAAATGTTTTCCAGATAATGCTATTGTGTCATAACTGGTTTAATTTTAAAGAAAGACAAATTGGAATACTGGTTTTTGGTGAAAGGTATTGTAGCAGTTGTATGTTTTTTTCAACATGATTTTATTGCATTAGAACTTGTAAATTCATATTCAGAGTATTACTCTTAAATATGCAATTCCAAATATTGCTACTATAACAAAAATATTATCAGTCCTAGCAATCAGTGATCTTTACAAAAGTATTTTACTTTAAAAAATTCTGAATTATCCACATCAGCTCCCAACCAGTCTGATGTGCCTCAGGTGGGTGACAGGTGACAGATGATGGAGCTTGATCCAGAGCTTTCAGATGTCATTAGCAGCAGCCTTGGGCAGCTGGGAGTTCCAGCTGGCGGGTGTTAGCCTGGAGGAGCTCACGTGGTTACTAACGTGCTGATCAAACAGCATTGTTATGAAGTGACAGGTTGGAACACACTGATAGGGTAGTTTCCATCACTCCATATTCGAATAATTTTTAGTTACTGTTTTTGAATAAAGTCACATGTTGCCAATAATTATTTTTATGTCAAACTCCAGTTAAAAATTATTGGGAATTTTACATTTTTCATGAAAAAAATTTACTGTTGGTTTTCTTCTCAAATTTCCTTGCCTCATTGCCTACCAGCAGATTTTATTTGGGAATAGCTTTTCTTTACAAAATTATGTCACCAGCTTAACATATTAAATTACTGCTAAGTATTAAATGGTAAAAATCTGGAGGTGGGTTTGTAAGTCCCTTTGTTTCCCTGCTTCCTAAATAGCCAGGAGAAACAGATTACAGGAGGAACACCATGCTTGGAAGATCCAGAGGGGTCACAGCTATTACATCCCCCTGGTTCATTGGCACGTCTCAGGCTTCAGACTGAGCCTTTTCCTGATCACTTTCCTCCTAGGATTAGCTCATCCCTTCTGTTTCTGAGAATACTTTTAGACAAATCTTGTCCATCTTTCAAGGACTCCCCTCCCCATGAATCTGTTACCAGTGCCCAGGAGTGCCTGCACATGGTCAGCATCTGGATAAGGGGACCAGCTGTTCCAGCCCAACCCTCTTCCTTAATTCCCTTTTCCTACTATCCTTGCCTCGCACTTACATGCACACAGCTGTCGTTTTCGATTATGGGGAGTGTGCACATGTGTGCATGTGTTCTCTGACCAACTTCTAACTCCTGAGGGCAAGACTAACTCATACTTACCTGTCCTCTTTCTACAGCAGGTGCTCAGAGAGTCTCCTTTTCAGTTGCTCTCTCCTTTCCCCGAGCTCTATACTAGACAATTAGAAGGAGCCATACTTTCCTCAAGCAAGAAAATTGTAGTGATAGCCCGGTAAGAGTCATGTTAATGAGTGAGGTGTTCGGACAGATCAGCAGTGAAGAGTCCTGGAACTAAAAGTAACTCCTGACCTTCAGAGGACACTGAACCACTTTTACCAAAATAGTGGGGGAAAAGCATCAAGTGGTAAAACTACTTATATAAATAAATAAGGCGCAGCTTGGTGTCTGGTGTGTATTTCATATAAACTATTAAAACTCTAGAGTTGTGCTGCCCCAAATAGTAGCCACTAGACACATGGTGGCTCTTTAACAAGACATTTAGCTCTTCTCTTACACTAGCTACAGGTAAGTGCTCAATGGCCACATGTGGCCACTGTCCACTGGATTGGACAGTACAGGTAAAGAACATTTCCTTCACTGTAGAAAGTTCTGTTTGCCAGCACTGTACTGACATTTTAGAAACCGGAATAATGAATTTTGATTATTAGGTTAAAAGTAGACATGCAGAATATATCATAATGCAAGTGATGGATGAGTATTTTGGGTGAGGAGATGTTGAGGGACTATTTCTAGGATTCTAAGAGCAGCCAAAATTTCTGTTATTTGTCCTAAGTCTCAGAATTCTTTACAGTATGCCTCCTATGCTGACAAAAAGAGCAATGGTGTGAGGTAGTGAGATTGAAAAGCTTTGGAAAAAGTGAATGCAATGGATTATTTAGCACACAGACACATCTATTATAGACAAGTATGTTAATTTAACCATTGACAATGTCTTTGAACAAAGATACTGCTTTTCAAATCAATAGTTCCATCACTAAATAATTAGGTGTCATTATTTTCAAAACCTTCATCATTAAGTATTCTTGCAGTCTGTCATAATAATGAAAACAAGTTCTCCCCCAACATTTTGTCCTCAAAAACAAGTTTGGTTTTATGGAACAGCATGTTTGGAGAGATTGCTCTAATTAATAGCAGTGTGTACTTGTAGTAGCCGGAATTTTGAGAATGACCCCCAGTGACCTTGTATGATATCCTCCCCCTTTGAGTGTGGGTGGAACCTGGTAATATGATCTATAATTACGTTATACAGCAAAAGGTTATGTTGGGGCAGCAAATCTTATAATGTAAGTCCTTTAAAAGCAGAGTTTTCTCAGTCTGGTAGAAGTTAGAAATGCAAAGCACAAGGAGGCACCATTGGCTGGTTTAAGATAGAGGCCACATGAGAAGAAATGCACATGGCCTTACGGAGCTGAGAGAGACCTCAGCTGGGGAAGGGACCTGCAGAGCCACAGGAACTGAATCCAGCCAACAACCTGCATGAGCTGCATAAGCTGGCAGGTGGATTCTCCAGCAGAACCCAGCCTGCCAACACTTGATTCCGTGAGACCCTGAGAAGAGAACTGTCAAGCCTGCCTGGACTTCTATGAGATACGAAACGGGTTTCTAAATGTGTGATGACGTGCTATGCAGCAATGAAAAATGAATACAGTATTTAAAAGGTGAAAATTCCCTTTAGAATGGTGATACTTCTCAATACGAGAGTAGTCTTACTAACATATCCTATACGTGGACCTCAGCAGGGACTTCTATGCCAGAGATCTTAGTCTTCATCGGAAGTTTGTTGACAAACACTTGCAGGGTCTTAGTAGTATTTCTAAAGGAACTGCTAGAATGAGACTGTAGTAGTAGAATCCAAATTGAGTATAAGGAACCTTTCTCCTGCAAGTAATATTTTATACCAATTTAGTGTGCTCTGGGCCTTTCAGTGTATTATTTAAGAATGATGAACAGGGGTAATTAAATTGAGGAAAAAAGCCTCTGCCTTTATGTAGAGATCATATAATCTACTTTGTACTGAGGTATTATTTTAAACCAAAACTTGTCTAAGCACAGATCAAGTCCTGAATGTGCCAGTCAAATTTCTGTACTGTGTGAATGTTTTCCAAAATATCTCGGCTTCCAAGCCATTAACTGCTAATGAAGTTTTTATTTTGGTTTTTCCTTTAATTTTTGTGCTTATTTTTACTATAATGCTATACGTACTCTTGATGTAAGTAGAGCAAAAGGAAAGAATGAGAGGCTAATGCTGTCAGGTCAGAAATTGGGATCACCTTGGCTGGTGTGGCTCAGTGGATTGAGCACAGGCCTGCAAACTGAATGCTGGTTCAGTTCCCAGCCAGGGCACATGCCTGGGTTGAGGGCCAGGTCCCCAGCTGGGGGCGTGTGAGAGGCAACTGATTGATGTTTCCCTCTCTTTCCCCCTCTAAAAATGAATAAAATCTTTAAAAAAAAAATTGGGGTTATAATCATATCTTAGTGTTAAGGGAACTTAACATACCCCATCTCTTTTATAGAAAAGGCAGCTTTTCCAAGCTACATAGCAATATTTATAGTGTGGAAAGTTCAGTTTGTTGTAAATTTTAATTAATCTTATTAAGATACGTCCCATAACTACTATCCTTCATTTCTTTATGTGGGCATATAATGCTGGTAAGACTATTAGCATGGTATTATTTTTTTAATAAAAGGGTTTGTTACATACATCCATATCATCAATGCCTATATGTAAATTCTTCTCATCTGAAATGCTGCCCTCACCAGTGTGGACACTAACTAGGTCACTTTCAAAGGAACAAACAAGAATAAGCTGGCACCCCAGACTGTATTTGAGTTGAGAATTTGTCAGATGTTACTCTAGAAAGTAAACTGAGTGTTGAATGGATGGTACTTTGTGCTATTTCCAGTGCTGTTAATGTTGGAGTGAAAATGTTGAATCAATTACTAAAATTAGGAGTTTATCGTGGGGAGTACTCTCAGACATTAGGAAGGCTATTTTATGTGTCACTTGCTCCTATAGCAAATTGCCCTAGAATGAAGGGTTCTAGTGAAGGGTACTCTAGTGAGACTGGCAATCTAATGCTATTGAAACTGAATGAAAATATCTTTTGAATACATTTTCTGAGCCTTAAAAATGGCTGATATCGCCAGAATTGTAAGATGCACTGCCAGCAGATTTGATACTCTTCATTTAAGTATAGACAGTAAAGTTTTCTAGGAAAGATTTAGAAATCAGCTGATTAAATAGTCGTTTCATTTATAGAATGAAAAACTAAGTGTTTCTCATTGAGAATACTGTTGGAAAAGACGGTCTTTGCATTTAGAGATATTTCTGGAAATATTCCTTGGAGAAGCTGCCTGATGAATTGCTTTTCCAGGCTGTACATTTTTCTTTTTTTTGTCCTTAATGTATTGTGCGTATTTCCTTACAATGTATTCACTGGCTGATTGGGTAATATCTGTAGTACTAATTTGGGTACCTGTTAAACTTTCAAAGGAAGATTATTTTCAAATATGCCGCTGTAACCTAATAACTGGTCCTGTTGACTGTGCCTTCATCACTGTTTGTGCCAAAACCGTTCATCTGTATTGAAATAAAGAATTTAAAAAGCCACGCTGAACTCAAGACTCCTAATAAAAACAGTTAAGACTTAATGGGTAGCAAATTTTGTTCTGTATTTTCTACTGGTTATGTTCAACACTGATAATAATAATAGTTTACTTGAACTGTTTTCAGTTAGAAAAACGGCAGTGGATCTTCCATGTGGGTTTCAGAAAATCTTTAAAGAAAGAAGCCTTGATGTTAAGACAGTGGTTATAAATATGATACAGATATTCACTCATATATTATGTGCACTATACAGCTCCCAAATTAATTGTAGCCAAATAGACCTGGTTCACTCTGAATTTTGTGTTTTTGTTTTGTTTTGCAGAGAAAATGCTGTTAGTGATATTTAGGGCCTGATTAGACTAAGATCAAATGCCCTATATAAATGCTTAAAATATAACCCATTATAAAATGGAGGCAGCATATGTAACTTGTCAGTAATGGGGGTGGGGGGAGCATACAATTATTACCATGTTCTCCAAAAAGAAGCTCTTTCAAAAAGAATTTATAAAGTTTAACCTTTCTAATTTCCTTACACCTTCAGTATTTTGTGTATCATTCTTGTGTGTACAAATATTAGAATGAATACATGCTTTAGTTTAAAAAATATTTATTATAGAAATGTACATTTAATTAGTTTTAAGGAATGTATTTGACAATAATGTTAACATATATATTTCCTTAAATTCACAAACTTTACACCTTTAAGATATCTACAATGAGTTTACTTACAAGTTTCATAAGAAATCACTTCACCAATACTGTAGACACAGTTAAGATACAATAGTCTCACTTTTTTTTTCATTTTACTCTGTACTTGTAGAAGGAACACAGTGTGTGGGTGAAGTTCCATCCGAGCGCTAGTGACAGCCCGTAGAGCAGAATGAGAGGTGCAAATGGATAGAGAAGAATTACTGTATTTTTCAAAAATGGCAATGCTGGAAAATAAACAAGTACAAATTCATTTTTTAAGAGGAAATATGACTATTAAATGAACATTCTTAAAGAACATATGGGGCCAAAGAGGAACGCATTCTTCAATCAATAAGATGATGCTATGTAGCCAGAACCACACTGAACTGTACTGAAAGAAACTGTCTAAACTACAGAGAGTTACCAGGAAAGTGTGGTTTCCTATAGTATGCTAATCATGATACCACATGACACAAACATCTCCCCTGAACTGGAGAAAGGACTCCCAATGTCCAAACAAGGTATTACAATTTGAGGGGATTAAGTGGTCTCTGGCAAAGCAGCCAAGAGGGTGAGAACAGTTCTGACCAGTGAAGCCAGAGGTGAGCAGTGGTTTGCATTTATAGTAAAGTCCTAATGATCCAGAGTGACAGGAAAGGAAGGGTTAAAAAACATGTAACATGAAGAAATTATAAAATCCCTAGATTAAATTTAGCTCTAATGGAAATCATTTCTAAAAGAATAATGTAAACATGTTTCTTATTCATATTAAGAAAATGAACTGACTGATAACAGGATCTAACAATAAATTTGCAAACACATCCTCAGGTTGGGCCTGATCTTCTGGGATTATCTACAGAACCATATGGTGATCATAAAAGTGGAAAACGAGACAAAAGTCGTAAAGACTTAAGTTCATAGGCTTATGTGCTCATTCATCCCACCAACCCTTTCCTCTCTCTCTAACCTTTCATTGGTGACCCAGAACCTGAAAGCCTGGGAAACAAAAAACTGGTCATGGGTTCCAGTAGGTAATGTGGAGACAATCAATATGATTTAACATGATTCCTGGCAATGACAGAATTTGTTACATACCCACCATTCTGCTTTTGAGATGTGTGACCATGACCCGAGGTCTTAAAATGGCCACGGATTCTCTGTAAGATCTTGTAAACTCCACGCATTGGGCATCTTTGGCAGGGCAGCTGGAGTTGGAGCGTTTGTGTGCTGTAGGGAGCCCTGGGATCAGGCTGCACTCTCTGTACTTATCTCTCTCTCTATATGCTTGTTTCCTCATTTGAAAAATGGGGATATGTAAACCTATATTATATAATTCTGAAGATTAAATGACATAATCCATAAAAGTACTTTGGGACAGTGCCTGCAAGGGCTCTGTAATTGTAAGCTAATTGTATTAGTGTTACAGCTTCCCCCCCTCTGTTACATTTTCAGACAAACAAAAAAATTACTTACCACTGTATCCTAGGAAGGTTACATAGATGTAATAGCCAACTGCAATCAGCCATAACGTATTTCCAACCAAATATCCAATAAATGTGTCTGTTAGTATGACATCTGATGAAGAGAGGCAAACAATGACTCTCTTTCCATTGCATCAATAAAGACTTTTGGATAATATTTTGAGGAGTAACTGCTACTTACGGTTGATGAAAAAAAGTTGGATAAAATGCAGAATGACTAGGAGAGGATAAAAAGCATTCAAATGCACATCGAAGGCATAGCCCCACTCCACATCATAGTCTCTGCTCTGTCGTTTCACTAAGTACTTGTTAGAGATAAACCTGAAGAGCAAAATTAAAATTTCTTTCATAATACAATAAAAATTCTATAAATGTTTGCTGACTGTCCTCTATGTACCAAGCATTATTTCATACACTAGAATTACAACGGTAAACAACACAGAGGAAAATGTCTGCCTTCAATATCGTGGGAGTAAACTGACAATAGAATATAAATATATGTTAGATGGTACTACAGAAAAAACAGTAAAGGAGAATAGAGAAGCCCTGGCTAGTGTGGTTCAGTAGACTGCCAAACTGCAAACCAAAAGGTCCTGGTTTGATTCCCAGTCAGGGCACATGCCTGAGTTGCGGACCAGGTCCCAGCTGGGGGTGTGTCAGAGGCAGTGTGCTGATGTTTCTCTTGCACATTGAAGTCTCTCCCCCTCTCTTCCTCCCTTCCCCTCTAAAAATAAATCTTAAAAAAAAAAAAAAATAGAGAATACACAGTTGAAATGCAGTATCAGATATCATTGTCATAAGAAAGTAACGCCTAGGCGGAGACCCAAGGGCAGTGACCGGATTTTCCCAGGGCAGGGCATTCCAGGCAGGGGGAAGCCAAGTACAGAGGTGGAGGAGATGGTGCCATGCAGAGGTGGTGGCTGGGTGCCTGCATGTTTGAGGAGTGGGTGGTAGACCAGTGTGCCAGGACCAAGTGAGCAGAGTAACAGGAAATGAAATCAGAAAAGAATTAGGGAGCAAGATCTTACAGAGTCTGTGGCCATTTTAAGACCTCTCTATTTTACTCTTGGTGAAATAAGAAATGACTAGATTTCCCAGAAGAAAGACTTACTGTTTTGATCAGGTTCCTCTAGCTGTCACACCAAGAGCAGACTACAGGGACAAAAGTGTACGTGGAGAGAGCAGTTGAGAGGCTAATGTGAGAGATGAACAGGGTGGTAACAGCAGAGGTAGGACATGCGGGATATGCTACAGTTAGAAGGCAGCACCAACAGGATTTAAGTACTGGACATGGAGTATGGGGGGCACAGGAAGTCAAGGGTGACAGAAATTTTTGCTTTAAACAAAAGATTGAGCTGCATTGGCTGAGGTGGGAATAACTGCTGAAAGAATGGTTGGGAGCAGGAAGGAAGACTGCAGCAGTTTGGATTTGGATCTGTTATGTGAAAGATACCAGTTAGTACGGAATAAGAAATTATATATAAAGTCTAGAGTTTATTTATCCCTGATTGGTGTGGCTCAATTGGTTGGGTGTTGTCCCACAAAGTGAAAGGTCGGTTCCACTGCTGGTCAGGGCACATGCCTAGGTTGCAAGTTTGGTCCCTAGTCCAGGTGTGTATGAGAGGCAATTGATTGATGTCTCTTCTCCCTTTCTCCCTCCCTTCCCCTCTTTCTAAAAATAAATAAATAAAATCTTTTTTTTTTTTTAAAGTGTAGAGTTAGAAGAGGGCAAAACAAGATATAAACTCATTAGTGTGTAGATAATATTTAAAGACAAGGGCCTGAACGAGGCCATCACCTACAGAATGCAGATAAGAGAATCAGGTGGAACTAATAAGAAAAGAGTGGCTAGTGGCAAGTGTCTAGTCATAAGAACAATTATTCAGGCTTCTGCCACTGTTCCACAAGATGGGCCACAAGTTTAGTTAAATTACGAGTAAATAAAAAGTAAAATATTTGTTTCTGGTTTAAGATGGGGCAGAGTAAGACCCTGAACTCACCTCCTCCCACGAACATATAGAGTTTACACCCACAGGGCAATTCCCCGTGAAGAAGAATCGAGGGCTGACTAAACAGCTGCTGCACAACAAATGAAGAGATCACATAGAAACCGGAGACAGAGACATGGTACCAGTACAGTGGGACCCCCATCTCCAACACAACAATCTGAAGTAGGGAGGGTTTCACTAAAGTGCCCACATGTCCTGAGACGTGGTGAAAAAAGTGATTTAAAAGGCACCTAAGCCATCTGCCAAAAGGAAGGAGACCTGTGGAAATTGTGGGATCTCTCTCCAGGGTTGGAGGCATCACAGAGCACTGATTCTTACCCTTCCCTATCCCCTTCAACACATGGGCAGGATGATCCAGGTATTCTAGCCAAGGCTGGCCAAGGCTTTCAGGTGCATAGCATCTTCCTGCCTTGTTCCCAGGTCTCCCAGTGGCCTGCTCCAGCTACTGCTTCCAGCTGACCTTCCAAGGTGACCCGAGCACAGTTTGCCCCTGTGGCTAATACATGCTCTAGCTATAGCTCCCACACCAGTATGGCTTGTCCCTGGGACTTCCACAGACTATGCTGGCTTCAGCTTGCCCTCAGGACTCCCCACAACCTGAGCCCGTTACAACTACCACTCCAACTGACTTGCCAAGGCAGTCCTGGCGTGGACTGCCCCTACAGTAACTAAACTACAATGAAAGCAGCAGGCCCTGGTGTGGCTAGCCCCTGGGACTCCCTCCAGTTCTAGACACTCCAATTATAGCCCAAACCAGCCTGTCAACATGGCTCCCATGCGGCACAACCCCAGGAGGCCTGAGCTGGCTCCAGCTGTATGTAGTCCCAGCTGGTCTGACATGGCAGTCCTGACTGGCTTGTCCCGGGGACTCCACACAGCCCATGCCTACTCCAACTCCAGGCAGCTGGCCCAGGCAGCCCTAGTGCAGCCTGATCCCGGGGCTCCCTACAGCACGCAAACGCTCCAACTCCAGCTGCCCTGCCAAAGACACCCAATGCATGCAGTTTACAAAGAGGAGGCTCTTACACAAGGCCACTCCTTCAAGACTGGAAAGGCTGCTGTTTTGCCTAATTGACAGGAAAAAAAATATAGAACCAAAATGAGACAAAAAGTACAAGCTAAACAAAAGACCCCAGGATAAAACCCTAGAAAAAGAAGTAAATGAAATGGGAACAAGCAATCTACTAGATAAAGAGCTCAAAACACTAATAAGGAATAGATGAACTCAGTAAGGACATCAAAAAAGAAAACAGAAAATAAAACCAATCCAAACCGAACAATACAATAACCGAAATGAAAAATACACTATAGGGAATCAAGAGCTGGTTAGCTGATGCAGAAGAATGTGCCCATGAGCTGGAAGACAAAGGAACGGAAATCACCCAACTGAACTAGCAAATGGAAAAAAGAATTTTAAAAAAGAGAGACCGACCGCTGGTCAGGATGGCGAAGTAGGTCATCACAGAGCTCACCTCCTCCCATGATCACACCAAAGTCATAACTAAATTATAGAACCACCATTGAGAACAGCCTGAAGTCTAGCTGAACAAAACTGCTATAATTAGAGATATAAAGCAGCAACCACATCAAGACTGCAGGAGTGGTGGATTCTGGGACCAGGCAGGGCCCATAAGCACGGTGTGGCAATCATGAAATGTGAGGGATATGCTGGCTGCGGAGGTCTGCCCTGAGAACTCCAACTCCAACAAAACTCCAACAAGCAGCAAAACTCCAACAAGCAGCAGCCAGCCTCGGCATCCGTTATAGCTCTTCCCAAGAGGCCCCAAGCTCAGAACCAGCAGAAACCAGTCTCAACTTCCATTCTAACTTCCATCGGGTGGCCCCAATCCTGGCATAAGTGGCAGCCAGTCTTGGCCTGTAATGTAGTTCCAACTAAGAGGCCACAAGCCAGGCAAAAGCAGAAGTTGATCTCAGCTTGCACTGCAAAGCCCAGCAAAGGGTCCCAATCATGGCATAAGTGGCAGGCAACCTCAGTTTGCACTGTAGCCTCTCCCAAGCACCTCCAAGCCCAGCATAAGCAACACTCAACTGCAAATCACTTTGCTGCTCCAACCAAGAGGCACCAAACCCAGTACAAGTGGTAGTTCACCTTGGCCTGCACTGGAGCCACTCCCAAGAGGCTCCAGCCCCAACACACCTGGTGGCTGCTGCAGACCACATCTGAGAATCACCCAATCAGCTCCACAAATGGTACACGCAAAGGGCAGCCTAGGCTGGCACCACAGCCAGACTGGATGCGAAAGCAACACCCAATCTGTAGAGTCAGCCCCCATACAACAGCTCATCCACTGTAGTCACATCCAGCCTCCATAGCCAGTCAGCCTGAGGGTCAACCCCCCACCCCCAATGGTGTGCCACCGGCAATCGAGGTACAACTACAACAGGAGGGCACACACACCCCTGGAGCTACTGCCTCAGGTGACTAGGAAGACTGCACCACTGTCCACTGGACACTTTCTACATAAGGCCACTCTATCAAGACCAGGAGACATAATACATGGAAATAAACACAGGGAGTCAACTAAATGAGGAAACAAACAAGTCCTAAATAAAGGGGCAAAACTCCAGAAGAATTAAGTGAAATGGAGATAAGCAATCTACCAGATGCAGAGTTCAAAAACACTGGTTATAACACTGCAATGAACTAGGGAGAACAGATGAACTCAGGGAGAACTTCAACAAAGATTTAGAGACAAAAAAAGAAAATATGAACAAGAACCAATCAGAATGAAAAATACACTAACTGGAATGAAGAATACAGTAGAGCAAATCAACATCATATTAGATGAAGCAGAGGATTGAATCAGTGATATGGGAGGGAAGGCAGTAAAAAACACCCAATTGGAACAGCAAAAAGAAAAAAGAATTTTAAAAAATGAGGATAGTTTAAAGTACATGTGGGACAACATCAAGCCACCAATTTTCACACCATAGGGGTCCCAGAAGAAGACAGAAAAAAAAACCAAAAACGGGTTGTAAACCTATTTGAAGAAACAATGACAGAAAACTTATCTAACCTGGCAAAGGAAATACACATACAGTCCAGGAAATGTACAGTCCCAAACAAGATAAACCCAAAGAGGTCCACACCAAGACATGTCAAAATTAAAATGCTAAAGGTTTTGTCAAAAACAAAGGAAGAATTTTAAATGTAGCAAGAGAAAAGCAATCAGTTATGTGCAAGGGAACCCCCATAAGATTATCAGCTGATATATTAACAGAAACTCTGCAGGACAAAAAGGATTGGCACAAAATATTCAAAGTGATGAAAAGCCAAAACCTCCAAGATCA